CGGACCACACTCCTATGCGGATTCCTACGCGGACACCAACGCGGATCCCAATACGCACGGCGGCAATGCCCGGAGCGCACTGGGGGGGAGCGTTACGTCATAGCGGGGGGGGGGGCAGAGGCCATGACGCCCGCCATGCCCCAAGCAATAAAAAAATGATCTCTTGAGGACCCCCCCTTTTCGGTCGATGTACTCCAAGGCTGCCAAGAAGGCCCAAAGAGGCCCGGAAAAGACCTCGAAAAGGCCTCCGAGAGATCCGCAAGACGCCCCAAAACGCCTCAAATAACTCCTAAGAGGCCTCCAAGACGCCTGTCCAAGAGGGCCCCAATATAGCCCTGGAGGCCCCCCCAAGACGACCCCGAGAGGCCCACAACATGGCCTCAAGAGGGCGAATCCGATCGGACCCTTCTAGTCCTCCACCCCAACATGACCCCAAGAGCCCCCAAGATGCCCCCGAGGCGCCCCCAAGGGGCCCCCAGAGGCCCCCAAGAGGTCCCCAAAGAGGCCCCCAAGAGGACCCCGAGAGGCCCCCAAGAGGCCACAAAGGCCTCCAAGAAGCCCCAAGAACCAAGAGGCTCCAAGAGGCGCTCACTCGCGTGCTGCCAGGCCAGAGGTGCACGGCCTGACTTGGTATTGCTCGGAAGCGAAAGCGATGAACGAAGAACCTTCCACCCGTCGCCGTCACCAGTCGTCGGTCGTCGGCCGTCGGCAGCCGTTCACCGTCAATCGTCGTCGTCGTCGTCGTCGTCGTCGTCGTCGTCGTCGTCGTCGGTTCGTCGTCATTAACTTCTTCATCGGCCGTCGTCGTAATTATTCCGGTCGTCGACCGTTGGTCGTCCGTTGTCGTCGTCATGGTCCATTTCAACAACATTAGCATCAGGAGCGCCCCGGATCGGAGGCACTGGCCGGAGGCCACCGCAATAACCCCTAAGGGGCCTCCAAGACGCCCGAACAGGCCACCAAGAGCCCTCCCCCAGGGGACATCCCAAGAAACTCAGAGGGACATTCTAGAAGCCTGCAATTCATTAAGGATCAACGAGGTACCCAAATGACGCCGTGCTCGCTGGAGAAGGGCAGCTCCCAACGGCATCAATCCTGGATGAGACGGCGTGGATATTTTGGACACGCAAGCACACGATGCGAGTCGGACGCTGGGCAAGCAGGAGCAGGCTATGCCACCTGCGATGGAAATCCAAGGCAGCAAGCGCGCCGGGGCGAGGCGGAACTCAACGCGGTAAAGCAGGCGCGACATGGGGGACCAGCACCACGAGCGCGGTGTAGGTGCCGGGCGGAAAGGCGAGCAAGCGAATCCAGAAGCGTCGGTGGGTGGGGCCACGTTGCTCCAGGATGGCCGTGGCGCGAGGCCCATCCGTGCCCAAGGCAGAGGCAGAGGCCGCGCTTACCGAGGGCGGTGAAGGCGGCGAACCAGAGCGCCGAACTTGCCGCGCAGGTAGGACTCCAAGGGAAAACCATGCCGGAAGCAAGCGCGACGGAGCGAGGCGGAACTCAGCGCGGCCAAAATGGCGCGGAAGGGGCGGAGGTGCACCGGAACGACGCAGTGGCCGGCAGGAAACCGAGCAAGCCCAGAAGCGCCAGTGGGTGGGCCTGCAGCTCCAGGATGGCCTTGGCGCGAGGCCCATCCGCACCCCAAGCAACCTTGTTGAACAAGCAGACTATGTAGGCAGAGGAGAGGCGGGCGCCGCGCTTATCCAGTATTGTGGAAGCGGCGAGCCCATAACTTGCAGCGCAGGTAGGACATGAGGGAGGTGCCGGGCCGAAACGCGACGCGGCGGGAAAGGAAGAGGAATCCGCCGCTGTAGACGGGCGCGAGGGCGTCACCAGGCGCGAACTCCTTCGCGTGGATGTCGACGACCAGGCGCCATGGGACAGTAGCGTGAGTAAGTGGTCAAACGACGCGCCCAGCCGCCAGAGCGCCTCGCGCGCCCGGGCCCGGAGGCAATGGAACGACGTTGAACGACCAGCACGACGAAGCCGCGCAAGGAGGCGCCACTCGTCGGGTAGCCCAAGCGTGGAACGGCGGGCGGCCAGCGATGCAGCCGAAGGCCCGCAAGAACTTCGCCAGGGAGACCGCGAAAGCCTTGAGCGAGAAAATGCCATGGCGGGGTCGGGAAGACGTCCCGCCCGGACCCAGCCGACGTGCGCCCTTGCGGCCATGGCGCGGAAGTGGAACGAATGAACGGGGAAGGGCCCCAAGGGGGCCGGCGCCAGGCGCCAGGCGCCAGCCGGCAGCCAGGTCCAGCAATGGGTCTTGCAGTTCATGAGGCCTGCTGGACGGTTCCCCCGGGCCGAGACGTGCGAGAGGTGTCTGATCGCCGCAAGTGCGTAGAACGAGGGGAAGGTCCGGCAGCTGATCGCTGCAAGTGCTCTGAAAGCCTCGGCAGAGGAATGTCGGAGGGAAGACCGGCAGCTGATCGCTGCAAATACTTTGACAGCCTCGGCAGAGGCACACCCTAAGCGATGCCCAGCCCCCGCCGCCGCGGGCAGGCAACGAGGAAACGGTTGCAGGAAGACCCCAGGCGAGGAGGAGGAGGGGGAGGAGGAAAAGAGAAGGCAGCCGACCGCAGCAAGCACGGGAACAGAAGCGGGGCCAGAATACCCCAGGCAGAACGCACGGTGGAAGGTGCAATGGGATGTGGCAGGGGGGGGACTACAGACGGTGCCTCTTGTCTGTGAGGGGCCAGTCCCAGCCGTGGCTGCGCTTGCCCTGCTTGCCGTTGCGTGCCTCAGAGGCGTCTTTGTCTTGTCCCCTGCCTGATCGCCCAGCGCTGCTCCAGTCGTTCGTCACGTGCTCATGGCGTGCGTGTTCTAAGCTAGCGTTGAGCTTGCGCTGGTGGCTGAGTGCGCGGGCGTCGTAGCCGCTCTGTCGCCGGGCATCCAAACAATGCATCGCAGGCGGCCTGGGATTGTACGCGTGAATTTCTGGGAGCGAGCCCGGGGCGCCGGTGCCAGACCTCGTCGAACGTGGCACCGAGCTCGGCTTGCACCGCTTCACTGAAATCACGGCTGTCTTCCGCCTCGCCCTGTGCTTCCACCAGGTGCGTGGGCGTCTTGTACATCTGACTGCCATCATGGGTGCGGCGGTCGGCTGGCGTGGGTGTGTTGGCTGCTTTGTCGCGCCACTGTCCTCGTGCCCACCTACCACAAGGCTTTGCTGCTCCGCGCGGTACTTGACCAGCTGGGTGCGTGCGCACGCCCATTGTCTCGAGCACTCCAGCTAGAGCTGCAGCTGGTCCACCTGCTGCTGACGAGGCTGTGCGTGCGAATCACGCTGCGCCGATCCTGATCATAAGGGCTCCATACAGGTCGGTCGCGTCCCTTCCCGCGACTCTCTGTGGGCGTCCAGGGTCTCCTATGCTGCGTCGCTGCTGCCAAGTGTGTTCCCCAAGAATCGGGGCGTGACAGAGGCTTCCGTGTGTCAGTGGGGGCGTGGCTGCTGCTGGCCGACCCGGCGGCGCGGAGGATGACAGTGCGAGGAAGGGACCTCGCGCTAGCCCCGTCGCCAGCGGGTGCAAGTGGAGCGGGGGGGTCCTCGTCTGCTGGGAGCTCAGGACTCTTCTGTGGTACCTCGGCCTCCGCACCTCCAGTCCAGTCCAACTCCTCCTCTTGTTGCGTTGCGTCGTAGCCTGTGTTGGCAGCGGTGTCCGTGTCCCGCTCCGCAGCCTGACCAGGCGTTCCATCTTCCCTAGGCGCGTGATGGGAGGGTGGAGGTCCTCCTTGGTCGCCCCCGCTTCTGCTCCGACAGGAGCACTTGGTGGGGGCCGGGCCGCTTGGGACGGCACGGCCGCGCCGATCGACGCTGCTGTCGGGTCTACATTGCTTGCGTCCGTCTCCCAGTGCGTCACAGCGTCGTCCGTGAGCAGGTCGGGCTCAATGTTTGCAAACCAACCTACGAACGTGTCAATGCGATGGTGAGCGGGATCAGTGTCCTTGTGTGGTGCGTCTCTCTGGGCGTAAGAGCTGCCAAATGTGCCCTGTTAGGGATTCCCGGGCAAGACGGCGTGCCAGGCGGACGGCCGCCCATCGCTTACTGTGCCAGGCGACGCCAGGTGGGACTCCGTCGTCAATGAAGGTGTCAGTGAAGAGCGTCCGGATAAAGGTGCAGGCGAGATTGTCCTGAGGCGTCGTCGTTCCAATCGTTCGGTTTGGGGCCTTCCTGGTCAACAAGGGCGATCCAGGCGTCGTCGGTGGCTGGGTCCAGACAGCGGACGTGCCTCGCCAGTTGCAGGGGAGAGATCACTGCTGTCTCGCGCTTGTCAACCGCTGCTTTTAGAAAGGCCTCAACCTCACTGTGACCAACTCGTGGGCACGGAGGAGGGGCGAGACTTGGCAGGATGACGAGGATGAGTTCGCATCGACTGCTTGTCTGACCTGTCTGGTTTGCGGAAGCAGGGTGGTGGTACATCCTCAGGCTGATCCCTGTCTTCGTCCTGCCTTGCCACAGCGCGTGGGGGACGGTGTGGACACGCGAAGCGTTGAAAATTCGGCAACGTCTGTATTAGGCACCTAGCATGATGCGCATTGAAACAAACTGTTCGACAAATAGATCTTCAAATGCCGTGTCTATGCAAGCCTGGACGCGGCGTCGGCGCCCTGCACCCGCTTGCTGGAGCGCCCTTAATGCGAGGGCATCCTTGTGGTCTGACAGAAGGGCTCGTGACGACAGCGGTCTTGCGCTAGCATCCACCCTAAGCTCGTTCACGAGGCTGTAAACCTCCTAGATGGGGTCCGAGTAGATGGGGGTCGGAGAATCGGGCCTCATCGCCGATGCATCGGCAAGGCATCGCCGATGCATCAGAGACGTTGGCGATGCGTCGGCGCCGTCGGCGTGGCAACAATCGGTCTCCGCATCGAGCCGCATCGGCGATGCGGAGCGATCCTCTGACCCCATCTGCTCGGACCCCACTTGCAAAGCCTACGCTGTGGCAGACCTCCCATATCTTAAACTGCGCCGGGCCCCGCTGGACATCTTAATCCGCTGCCTACTCCATGCCCGCGAAAGGATCGTCGCCCTTCGAGCCGCTCTGCTCGCGCATCCTCTTCGCGTCCTCCAGGATTGCCTGCATCAGCGCGTCGGGCGAGGTAGTCGGCTGCGCAGAGGCCTGCGGCGCCGCGGTGCCGCCAGCCTTTCGGCAGGGACCGACCGTTCCAGCAGTCCATTAGGCCTACCACAGAATTTTATAGAGGGAGAGCGATCCGCCGTCGCTGGCCCTGAAACGAAAACTTCGAAGGGGGGGACATCTAGGAGAGGGGGCCAAGAAACCAGGGCCCCTCCCCCTAAGTAAACAAATCCTAAGATGGGGGGTCAAATACCAAGGATCCCCCTCCCTCCTCCCCTAAGAACCCGGAGGTCCGACGCACCCACCCTGGGGAAAATCATGGGGGTCGTCGGACCCTCCCCCCCCGCACCTGGGAAAATTATTGGAGAGGCCCATGAACCCCGCCGCCCCTCCCTCTCCTCCCCCGGCCGCCGCCGACGGCAACGAGGACGCCGACTCCGACGCCCGCTCCGACGCCGACTCCGACGTCGACGCCAAATCCGACGCCCACTCCGATGCCGACTCCGACGCCGACGCCAACTCCGACGTCGACGCCGACGCCGACGCCGACGACGCCGACGCCGACGCCGACGATGACGACGCCGACGGACGACGGACGACGGACGACGACGAACGACGACGACGACGACGATGGCGAAGACGATGAAGACGACGAGGACGACAACGACCACGCCTGCGACGACGGCGGCAACGTCAGCGCGTCAGCGGCGGCGGCGGCGCACATGGCGCGGGCGCCCAGCCCGGCGCCGGCTGTGATAGAATCGCAATCGGGCTCGATCCAGCTGTGATGGAATCTCGGCAGGGCTCGATGCAGCTGATAGGATCCTATTAGCTGGATCGAGCCCTCATAGAACCCTACTGGGGCGTGGTCCAGCTCTGATCCCACCGGCCCTCTGCGAGTAGGTGGTTGAACGAAGTTTGCCTTCTCTCTCTGCCAGAACCTCTCCTTCCCCTCCCCCTGGTCAGGGGAGGCCCCTAACCCCCTCCCCTGAGCCTGGGAGGGGGGGGCGCGAGGCGCTAGATCCCCCAAGATAGCTCAAGATGGCTCCAAGAGGGCCTCAGAGAACACAAGACGGCCTCCAAGATGGATCAAGATACCTCAAGATTGTTCAAGATAGCCTCCGACACACATCGAAGAGGCCTCAAGACGGTCCCAAGACGGATTCAAGTGCCCTCCGAGCCCTCAAAGCACCCCCCCAAGAGGCCAACATCTGTCAATCATCTGAAGACAATCTGCTTTTCGCCTTATCGCCTTTTCGTTCCCGATGGGCTCTTGAGGCCTTCACATGGCCCCAAAGACGGCCGAAGAGAACCCCCAGAGGGCCTCGAGATGGCCCCAAGACGGTTTCAAATGCCCTCCAAGGACCCCCCAAGAGGCCATCATCTTTCAAACATCTGAGGGTAATCGAGGTGTTTTGCCTTCTCGCCTCTTCGTTATCCGATGGGCTCTTAAAGCCTCCAGATGGCCCAAAGACGGCCGAAGAGAGCCCACGGAGGGGCTCAAGAGGACCCCAAGAGCGCCCAAGAGCACCCCAATAGCGTCCCCGAAGGCCCCAAGACGCCCTTTCTGAGCCTCCGATGGGGGGGCTTGACTTGAGGAGTGCCCCAAGTGTGCCCCAAGAGGCCCCATTGGGCCCTCAGAGAGCCCCTCAGATGGCTTTCTCGTCGTCCTTCAAGAACCTTTTCACAACAACATACCTCAACAACGACTTCTCATCCTCCTTGTCATCGCCAGTTCATTCCCTCCTCCTTTCCTGCCTCCTCCCTCCTCCACCTCCTCCTCCTCCTCCTCATCTTCCTCGTGCCGCAGTCCACCTTCTCCTCCTCCTCCTCTTCCCTATCTTCCCAGACCTCCAAGAGGCCACAAGACAGCCACAAGACGGCCCAAGATAGCTGAGCATGACTAAGGATAGCCTCCGCCAGCCTGTGGCCGAACATGGCTCACAATAGCCTCTAAGAATCCTCAAGAAAACCTTTGGGGTATACGCGAAGCGTCAAGAGTTGAATACTAGCGGGGCCCGATCCATCTCCAACCAGATCCTACTATGGCTGGATCGAACTCTGACGCATTTCTTGTGGGGCTCGGTCCAACGCTAACCGGAGCGTTCTATTGGGGTTGGGTCCAGTCGTAATACATGTTCCTTTGGGTTCTATCACACTTCAATGAAATCCTGCAAGTGCTCGGTCCAGCGCTGATATCACTGAACCCAAGTTCAACACTCCCCAGTCCCAAGCCTGCGGGGACGGGGTCCAATTCTGGTATAATCCTAATAGGGTTGGGCCCAGCTGTAACGCAATCCTACTTAGTCTTGTTACAGATCGATGAAGCTGTAGCGCAATCCTATTCAAATTCTCAGAGGATTCCCTGATCGGGCTCGATCCGTCTCTTAGAGAATCCTACGCATGGTTGGATCCAGATCTGCAGCAATCTCTTGAGGGGGCGATCCAGCTGTAATCTGATCATGCTAGGGCTTGACGCAGCTGTGATGCAATCCGACGAGGGCTCGATCCAGTGCTGCTCGAATATTACGAGGACTGGAAACCATTGTAGCATAATCGTACCGGGGCTATATCCAGCTTAACGGAATCCATTTAGGAGTCGGTCCAGCTCCAACATAATCCTGCGAGGGCTGACTATAGCTCAGATATCGACCCAACTCTAACAAAATCTCGCTAAGGATGAGTCCAACGATGGATTGATCCAGCTCGTACAGATTCCCACGATGGCTCGATCCAGCACTGGTGGAACCCGAACAAGGCTGGATCCACCTCTGCTCGATCCGTCATTAATTTCTGTTTTCTTACAGAACTGATTCCAGCTCTAACGCAGTCGTACTTCGCACGATCCAGCGCTAATGCAATCCTACTAGGACCTGGGTTCAACTCTTCTACAATCCGACGGGTTTACCAGGGCCATTTATCCAGCTTCCATTTCATACAAATGGGGGTTAGATTGTCGTCGCAGACGTCGTTGTTTGTCGGCGGCGACGTCGTCGTCGTCGTCGCTGTTGTCGTCGTCGTCGTCGTTGTCGTCGTCGGTGTCGTTGTCGTTGTCGTCGTCGTCGTCGTCGTCGTCGTCTGCTTGCGGCGGCGGCCAGGAGGGGGGAGAGGGGTTCTGAACCATACCTATAATTTTCCGGCGGGTGGGGGGGGGTCGGGACCTCACCGAAAAGGTTGTTGAGACCGTCCTCCCACCCCCTCCTCGCCTCGTTGTTTTTGTATGCCCCCTCCCCTTGCCAGCAGCGTGAGAAAGCGCTCGTTCGAATATTCTTTCAGCGGACGAATTACGGTGTAACATGAACTTTTCCACAGTCGGGGACACCTGCCCGAAGGCAGCAACTGAAATGTTTATACCCCGACGTGCCAACGTAAGGGTACCAACTTTCCAGCCTCTCTGGGGCAGGCGTCCTCGATGGCGGACAAGTCTATTTTACACCGTTTCTCGTCCGCTAATCCTCAAACAAAAACATGTTCTCAGAACAACACAATGACTTCCACAGCATCGAAGCGATGTGTAAAAACAATACTGTCTCAGCGTGAAATGCTCTGAGAGCATTTCGTACACACCACAAGATACTATTAGAACAGTCTTTGGTGGGCCTATAGACAGGTCGGAACGCTTCGCCACTGCTCGACGCCTTGTTTGCCTCGAAGGCCGCCGCGATCTCGGCGGGCATCCCCAAGCTGCTGGAGCCGGCGGCGTCGGCCTTCGGCGCCGGCGAGGCGCCTGCAACGAACGGATCGAAGGCGCTGATGGCGCTCGCCGGTTTCTGCTCCGCAAGGGCGGATGCATCAGGCGCGCGCTTCGGACTGCCGGCCAAGTCGATCATCGCATCGTCAGCCGCCATGTATGGTCCTGGATGCTTGCCTCGTCGGAGACGCCCGCCAATATTTCAGTGAAATAATTTAAGCCCAAATGGCTACGGAATGCCATCCTGACTTGAGGGCACCTGATTGGGTGAACATCGCGCAGCTTCGTTGAAAGAGGGGGAGCATGTGCGGAACGGAGGTAGGGAAGGAGGCTGGAGCTAGTGTTGCGCAAAAGAAGGGCGGATGAAAATGAGTGGAACGAAATAAGGTGGACGATGGATGGGGAGGAAGAAAGGTATCATGTAATGACGAAGGTGACAAGGGCATGGAGAAGGCCAAGAGGCAACATCTACCAGACAGTACAACAATTTAGAAACAGGCAAGCCTGATATTGGCCAGCTCCCAGTCGTATCACATTGCTTTCGAAATCAGCAGCCTGCAGCATCCAACAGGAACTCACACATGTGCCCTGGCGCAAACTGCATAATCTTCCCGCTCTCGACCCGCATGCGGCAGCAGTGCAGATCGACCTGCTTCGACATGACTCAGCATGCTAACCTGCAGCCCTGATGACCGCAAAACATGCAGCGACGGGCGATTGAATTTACAAACTTCCCAGGCGATGTGCAAAACAACATGGCGAGGGCACACAACAAAACAAGGCGGGGACAAGTTCGAACGCATCACAAACAAGAGTACGCATGTATGTCCACGTGATTAGACTTGAAAACGAATCTCCACACTGAGCCCAAACATTCAACGCGCCAGACGTACACAACCACGGATATGAAATTATGGCTCCCCATACTTCCGATGTCTTGACTTTGTCACTACGCTGGGCCGGGAGGTCTTAACCTTCGAAAGTTTTTTGTCCAAGGACAGGGAAACGAGATTGATATATTGATAGCTCTGGGGTCCGAGAACGACCCCCGGACACCGTAAAGTGTCAGATTTTTTGCGCACTTGTTCGTTATCGCTCTCTCTCTCTCTCTCTGTATGTGTGTGGGTGCTGTTGCTTCCAAGGCATTGGGAACTGGGTATGTGCTTGATCCGGGAGGGATAGGAAGGAGGGGTTAGCGGTTAATTGGCGAATCCGCTGCATGCAACTAATTAGATTTTAGGGCGCCTTCTTGCGCCGGAAGCGCCAATGTACCTAGAAAAGCGCTGCTCGGCGGAGGGCCCACAACAGACTGGCACGCATTCAACTTCGTAACTCCCCTTTTCCAGAATTCACGCTATCGCCCAACCCGGACGATCCATGTCGTCTGGCTTTCGGATCGGAGTTCGGGTCGCTGGCAATCGTTTGGGACGATCATGGTATCCCAGGATCGCCTTCGGCTGGAGAGCATCCCGAAAGTGGAAAACCGCCGAGATCCCAAGACAAAGTCCCAAACCCGATGTGACTGTTTTAGTCTTTGGCTCCAGAGCTTCGGACCCCTTTCCCGGGGATAGTTGTTCATCATAGATCAATTCTTGATGGCCTGGAGCCCCGATAACAAGCCCGCAAGGGCCAAGATCGAGGAAAAAATCAGGGAGTGAGAAATGATATCCTCGGAAATCTGCGCCCTATCGTTTCGCACTCGCGGCATCTTGACCACGAGCAATGCCGTGCGCGGCCGCACGTATCGGTTTGCCGGTATCTGCTTGACCCCGTCGCCTCGAGCACGTCCCGTAGCTTCTCCTCCATCAGCCTGGACCTGCGGGAGGAGCGCGATCCAGGATCGATGCTACAATCGAAGAGTGATCATAGAAGAACAAACAAACTGCATGAACATAAGCTGTCCGAAGTTCGCGCGGATTTCTTGGATCTGAGCTGGATACCCTCCCTGGCGCGCAGAGCGCGCTGGGGGCTGCGCCGGAGCCGCCGCTGGCCCAGCGCAGATCCGAGACATCCGCGCGGACCTCCGACACTGCAGTTATGGATATGCAATTCTGTCTTCTTCGAGTTGCGGAAGGACAACACCACCACCGGGGGCAAGAGCCAGGCTGGGTCCTGGCGGCTTTAATCCTACCTTTTTGCGGCGTCCCGCTCGACACGTCTCCGATCTCTGGCTCGGGGGGGCATCGTGCACCTCCTCGCGGGAGGTGAGCCGCCGGTGGTGGCGGTGGTTCTGCGCTGCTTCTCCTCCCCTCCTCCCCCGCGACACGTGAGGACTGCGCTCGCCCGCCGTCCCGGGACGGGAGCCCCGCCACCCTGCGACACATCCGCCGGGAACGCCCTCGGCGAGGTCGCCGCTGGGCCGACGCGGCGCGAGGCTGCCGCGCGGGTCGGAGCATGGCCACGGCCACGCGGGCCGAGGGCACGCGCCCCCTCGCCGAAGGCCCGAGGCCCCGTGGAGGCAGCCCGAGCGAGGGCCATCCCATGGACGCACACTTCAGTGGGGCACGTGCCCCATCCAGAAGGAATTTTGGGGCGAAAAATTAGAAATACCTCAAAAATACGCCCAGAAAAGTCAAGCATAGTTAAAACAAATAGTCCCCTGACGATGTTTTTTACCATTTCGCCCTGTAGAGGGACAGGCCCGATTTCAACGCAGACGCCCGAAATCGGGCAAGGCTGACCTGGGTACAGTTTGGCATCCACCACAGGGTGGGTGGCACTGAAGGGGATCACGAATTCGACCCGCTGTTGGTGCACCGCACTGCCGCCAACAAGTGCCCCCCGCATTCCCACCTATCAGTCGGCAACTATCGGGAGCTGCCGGCGGCTGGGGGGCATCTGTTTTGGGCGGTTCGGTGTAAAAACCAATCGAACACACACACCCCGGCCCCCCCCCCTTTCGCGGGATCCCGAACAATGCCCAGCAACAAAAGTTGCCCAAACCGACAGCGCCGAAGTTGGGCAGGCGGCCATTTGTCTCCAACAGACAACGCCGGCAGCGAACGACGACAGCGAACAACTCAAAATGCGCAGGAGTTTTACACATTCTTTCCGCACCAATTTCGATCGGCCGAATGGAGGTCGGTCCAGACACGAAGAACGTGAGGGGCAATCTCCCAAAACCAAGGCGGGTCCTGAAACCTGGGCTGCCTGACACGGCGGACTCTTGATGATAAGCCTCGAGGCTTGCGCCAAGACCTCCCTCAAATACGAATTTCCCCCCCGAAAAGCCTGGGGCGATCTCGCCCCAGGGCCAACCGTGCGCCGCCTCTGGCGAGCACCCCCGTCGGCAATCCGTGCCTAGGGTGCTGAGACCGCCGTGGGACTTACTCGGGGGGAGTGTTGATAGAGAACAAAAAACACACACAGGAATTTCACACAATGGGTTTTAGCACCACCAACGGCGCAACGCATGTGCACACATGCCACTGGATCCCCAGCGATCCGAACCAGGGTTGATGCACGGCCGTGCTCTAAGATGCAGTTGACATGTATGGTGTGACAACGCTGTCGGCGGCGACGAGATCCCAAGCTCTGCTACCAACAAACACTCCATGGTGGTCTGGCACAGCCAAACCACCGTGCAAGGTCAGTTTGTTCATACGTTGACAGCAGCACGCGTCGCGGCAGCAGAACGCAGTAGCGCGCGCGGACATGCAGGGCCGGCGATGTGGCTGGCCAGCTGCCAGCGCGATTTCGGCAGAAATGCCGAAATCCACGTAGGATCGTCTTGGGCGTGGTATCCGGCGCAGCTGCATCGCACTGCCAGGCGCCGCGACCTTGTGATTGTAGCGCGAGGCCCCGTGCGCCCCTCGAGGCGTGAACGCAAGCTCTACACAAAGGAATCGCGCGTGCTCTTGCGGGGACGGCGAAAACGATCGTACACAAAGGAAACTCCTTTGTGTGCGCCCCGCGTTGGCAGTGTAACCAGACTGTACACAAAGGAATTACACGAGACTTCGTGGCACACAAAGAAATTACAGCAACGCCCTTTGGGTTGCGCTCTTCGCGCACGGTGACAGCTCCGAGCTGGAAAGGAAGGGGGCGGGACAAGGCAAAGCAGGGGAAGAGGAAAAGGAAGAGGAGGGCGAGAAAGAAGCGAAGGAAGCAACGGAAGGAAGCCAGGATGCGCGCAAGCGAAGCCAACACTGCGCGCCGAGACAGGTGTTCGTTCGTTCGGTTGGCCGTGCGGCAGATGAATAGAGAAAGATTTGGTTGCTGCCTATCGAAGTGACTTCTTGGGAATGAGACTCGCGCTCTCTTCCCTACCCCCTTTCTCGCACCCCGTTGCGAGCGCGCGACGATTTGTTCTGGCCCGCGGGCACAGGACTGCCAGTTGCTCGTGGGAGACCTTTCCACCCGTCACGCGTTCCGAACAAATGCGACCAGCTTAACGCACTTGCCACGCAAACCGCCAGCTTCAAACATCGACGCCACCCCGATCCCCGCATCCATGCCAGGCACCCTCTCAACGACGCCCCCTTCCGGCGTAAAACCAATAAAACCCTTTGTGTGTATGTGTTTTTTCCTGTTCTGATCATCATCCTCATCATCCTCCTCATCATCCTCAGCATCATCATCAGCATCATCAGCATCATCAGCATCAACATCCTCATCAGCAGCAGCATCAGCATCAGCAGTGGCATCAACATCAGCATCATCAACAGCAGCAGCATCAGCATCATCATCAGCATCATCATCTCCACCATCAGCATCATCAGCATCATCATCAGCATCATCAACATCATCATCATCAGCGTCATCATCATCCTGATCATCCTCCTCATCATGCTCCCCCCCTCCCCCCTCCCCGGCGTGCTCTTCCCCTGGTGCTCCGCACCCTTACCTCCACCTCGTCAAAGCATCGTCCTCCTCATCCTCCTCCTGCCCCTCCTCCTTCTCCTCCACGTCTTTCTTCTTGTCCTGCTCCTCCAACTCGCCTTCTCCTCGTCCTCCTACTGCTCCTTCCCCCCCCCCGTCCTCCCCCTGCCCCTGCTCCCCCATCCTCATCCTCCTCCGGATACTCCCCCTTCTCTCCCTCCTCCTCCTCCTCCTCCTCCTCCTCCTCCTCCTCCTCTTCTTCTTCTTCTTCTTCTTCTTATTATTTTTCTTCTTCTTCTTCGTCTTCTTCTTCTTCTTCTTATTCTTCTTCTTATTATTATTATTATTATTCTTCTTAGTCTTCTTCTTCTTAGTCGTCTTCTTATTCTTATTCTTATTATTCTTCTTATTATTCTTATTATTCTTATTATTCTTCTTATTATTCTTCTTCTTATTCTTCGTCTTATTATTATTATTCTTCTTCTTATTCGTATTATTCTTCTGTTTCTTCTTCTTCTTATTATTATTCTTCTTCTTCTTCGTCTTATTCTTCTTCTTATTCTTCTTCTTCTTATTATTCTTCTTATTTTTCTTCTTCTTCTTCTTATTATTATTATTATTCTTCTTCTTCGTCTTCTTATTATTATTATTCTTCTTCTTCTTATTCTTATTCTTCTTATTCTTCTTCTTCTTATTCTTCTTATTCTTCTTCTTCTTCTTCTTCTTCTTCCTCCTCCTCCTCCTCCTCCTCCTCCTCCATCTCCTCCTCCCTCCTCCTCCTCCTCCTCCCTCCTCCTCCCTCCTCCTCCTCCTCCTCCTCCTCCTCCTCCTCCTCCTCCTCCTCCTCCTCCTCCTCCTCCTCCTCCTCCTCCCCGTCCTCCTCCTCCTCCTCCTCCTCTCCTCCTACTCCTCCTCCTCCTCCCTCCTCCTCCTCGCCTCCTCCTCCTCCTCTCCTCCTCCTTCCCTCCTCCTCCTCCTCCTCCTCCTCCTCCTCCTCCTCCTCCTCTCCTCCTTCCTCCTCTCCTCCTCCTCACCTCCATCCTCCTCCTCCTCCTCCTCCTCCTCCTCCTCCTCCTACTCCTCCTCCTCCTCCTCCCTCCTCCTCCTCCTCCTCCTCCTCCTCCTCCTCCTCCTCCGCCTCCTCCTCCTCCCTCCTCCTCCTCCTCCTCCTCCTCCTCCTCCTCCTCCTGGTCCTCCTCTCCTCCTCCTCCTCCCTTCTCCTCCTCCTCCTCCTCCTCCTCCTCCTCCTCCTCCTCCTCCTCCTCCTCCTCTTCCTCTTCCTCGTCCTCCTCGTCCTCGTCCTCGTCGTCTTCAGGGTCGGCGGCACCAGCCGTAAGGCCTTCACAATCGTGTGGCCAGCAGCTCAGAGCATGCCCTGACCCCTGAAAAGACACTCTACTGAAACTGCCCCCCATCCAAAAAGCCGCTGTACCAACAACCGCTGCTTGGTGCTGCAAAGGGTCTGCCCCGGCGGATGTTTCCAGCCTCCCACTGAAGAGGCAGCGCCGCAGCCCTTCCCTCCTCAAAGTTGCCAGTGCACGCGCGCCAGAAGAAGCCCTGGCAGTCGTATCCGTGCAGCCAGAGGCAGCTGGGGTCGGCGTTGCAGGCCAGCGTCGCCTCCTCCAACTGATAGACGGTGCTGCCGCAGTTGCCGCTCCAGGCGGAGTTACCCTCCCCCAGCTTGGCAGGACAGGGCCGCAGGAGAGTCAACCTACTTCACCTCCTTACCTCCCATTTCTTGCCTCCTCCCCCTCCACCCCTCGCGCTGTTCCTGTCCAGTGCCTGCCTCGCTCCCGTCATCCTCCATTTGCCCCCATCCTCTCCCCCTCCCCATTCCATCTTCTTCTGCTCCGTCTGTCTAGCCATTCAGCATCGCTCAATTCCCACGTCGATCACTACCAATTACGGTCGGTCGACCCTGAAGGCCCCTAAATCTGTTTACAATTGAGCCCGGAGCCCATCACGACGAATGCATTGAGTGGCAGCAGGAAAGACTGCTGCGGCGGCCGGCTTCTGCATCATCGACGAACGCAACGTTACCATTGGTGCACGGCAGGACTGAGCGTCGTCAGTGGGAGCCAGCGAAAGTCCAGATGAATGGACGACTGAACGACATTGGCCCCACCGCTGCTGAGATGGAGGAGGAGGAGTAGGAGGAGGAGCAGGATGAGGAGGAGGGGGCGAAAGAGGAGAAGGGGGAGGTGGAGGGGCGCGAGCGAGCGAGCCACCAATGCGGGGCGTCATCCAAGCCTGTGCAAGGCTCGGCGGGCGAGGCAGTGGCCTCTGCATACTGCCGGGTGTGGAAAACACGCACGTGGGCACTGCTGAGGGGGGCGGAAGACAGAGGGGGAGAGGGTCAACCGCAGCCGAAGGAGCAGCCAGTTCTCCCGACGAGCCGCAGCAAACAGTTGACTGATACGTGTCTCAGGGCGCGAGCGAAAAAGTGTTGTCCGCTTTCATGGTGTGCCCTTTCTCCACCGTTATGCTGTCGTTCCGCCTTCGCTGCAAAACGATATCAAAACGAAAAGGGTCCACGAAATAGCCAAGACACCGTTTCGCTGGCGACCTGGTGTATCTTTGAACTGGTCCCCGTGGGTCACCACAGCTTTGGACTTATGGCAGGTGTGGAAAGCGAGGACGCTCGGGCGCATCGCATCAGCACGCGAGCACGCGCATTCCAGCCTTTCTGGCTCAAGGTCGTCGTTGTCGGCGGCTACGCCGAGGATAGTGAGCGGATTGGATAGAGGCCTCCTAGATGGGGTCCGGGCACATGGGGTCGGAGGATCGCTCCACATCGCCGATGCATCGGCGACGTCGGCGATGCGTCGGCGCCATGGGCGTGTAGAAAATTGAGCTCTGCATCAAGCCGCATCGGCGATGCATCGGCGAAGCACCTCCTCGGACCCTATCTGAGAGGCCCAAGATCTGGAGGGAGAAGACACATGGGGGCACAGAGGGCCGATGGGGGAGAGGGATACGGAGGAGAAGGCGCAGACGGAGGAGGAGGAGGAGGAGGAGGAGGAACAGGATCATGAGGAGGAAGAAGAAGAGGAGGAGCAGCAGCAGCAGCACGAGCCGCCAAGAGCGCCCCCTCCCGTCCACTCGCGGACCGTCGAACCAGGCCTTGGTGGTCGTCGTGGAGGTGGAGACCTCGGCGGGAGCCGCCGCGGAGGGCTGCGGAGACCCCTCGGGGGGCAAGGGGGGCGCTGCGCACCCCGACTGCTTACCCATCGGTCGCAAGAAGTAGGTAGAACCATGAAGTAGAAGGCCTTTGGAAGTAGATTGGGTTTCCGCCCGCCTCCTGAAGAGGAGGAAAGAGGGAAAACCGCTTGACTCTTGAAGTAGGAAGGCGCTGAAGGTAGATTGGAATCTGGGAATCCAAAAATACCTACTTTCAACGACCGATGAGTAATCATGTTGCATCTTCGGGGCACCTTGTCTTAAGTTGGGCATGTCCTCCGACCTGGGAAGTGTCGACGAAAAATCAAAAGTAGTCAAAACAATAGTCAAGCAATGTTCAACAATGATTTCAAAAGATACTCAAACAAAATCGTCAACAAATCCTCAACGTATTATGTTTTGACTACTTTTGAAGATTCCTCCTGTACAGGGACGTGCCCGACTTGTTAAACCTTGTCTGTCCAATCGCGTACCTATCCGCGTCGGGTCCGTGTCGGATCCGTTTCGGACTACTCGTCGAATCCGCGCCGAATCCGCGCCGAATCCACGTCGAATCCGCGTCGAATCCAAGCCAAATCCGCGTCGAATCTGCATCGCGCCCGCGTCGGGCCCACTAAAAAACACCGATTGGGGAGACAGACGGGAAGATGCAACGTCAGATTGCCCGCTCTCCCAAATAGGGCAACTCTTGGGGAAGCAAGCGGATACAGCAGGCACGGACACTGAGAAGTCTTGATGCTGGAAATCTGGGGCACGCTTGTCGTCGAGCTTTGAGCTTGCTGGGATGCCGCAGGGCTCCTGAAGGGCCCCCCCAGGCAACCGGGGAACAACGATCCCTGTGTGGGGCACCTGCTGGCAGGCCGGCTTCTTACATGACGTGCTCACCGCTCCGACGTCGCTGCTCCCCCCGGCCTCCTCCGGAGTGCGCTCTGGCCCGGCCTCCCCCGGGGAATCCAGCTGTGGCGACGAGGGCACTTCAGCAGGCCTAATCAGCAAGGCAGAAGTGAGGGAGGGATATCGGTATCGGTGTATGTTGTCTCTCTTGGGAGACAAGGTCCTGAGGAATGCTCAGCTGGGTGCCATTTTGCTCCTCATCATCCTCCTTCCACCTGAACACCATCCTCCTCCTCCTCCTCCTCCTCCTCCTCCTCCTCCTCCTCCTCCTCCTCCTCCTCTTCCTCCTGTTCCTCCTCTTCTTCCTCCTCCTCTTCCTCTTCTTCCTCATCCTTCTCCTCCGCCTCCGCCTCTTCCTCCTTCACAAGTCCAGCATGATGTCGCCAGCCATTCCTCTGTCTGCCAGGGCCCAGGATGTGCTGGGGCGTCGGCAGTGGTGGCCGACGTGGTGACATGGCCGTCCTGGATCATCGTGCAGGCCTGCGAGTCGGCGGAGTCGGCCAGGATGTCGCTGCAAGGAGCAGCAGGCGGAGGGGAGACGCGGGATGAAAAGAAGCAGGGAGATTGCGGAGTCCCTCGGGGTTCCAGAAGTGCTTTACGAACTTTCACCCTTCTCATCATAAGAATTATGAATGTATACGATCATTCATAAATCCGCCGACCCTGTCGGCGTGCGTGAGGGGTTCTTTCGTTCGACTCGTCCTCTCCGTCGTTCGTTCGTTTTCCGGCACGATCGCCCCTCAGCAAAATTCGGAAACGTCGTCCTTCGAGTCGTCCTCTCCGTCATTCGTTCGTTCTCCGACACGACCGCCCCTCAGCAAATTTCGGAAACGTCGTCTGAACATCGAAGGGAAGCCCCTTCCCTTCTTCTTTCCCCCGCCGGGAGGGGGGGGGGTCCTGGGAGGGGTAGGGGGGGGTCCCGGGGACTGCACCCGGGTCAAACACGATGGCCTGACTCCAGTGCGGCGACCCAAACGCATACGAGTACCTAAGAGGCTTCCAAGACGGCCCACGAGCGTTTCAAGATGCCCACGATGGCTCCAAGGCGGGCCAAGACTCTCCCAAGAGGCTTCAAACGCGTTCCAAGAGGATCCCGGAAAAGGCCAGAAAACCAAAAACAACAATCATGGACCGTCCCATCGTTTGTCCATGTTTTAAGGTGGTTTTGCTTTGTCTACCTTCCGACGCTCTAGAACAGCGCAACAAGCCCCCAAGACGGCCCAAGAGGCTCCCAAGAGAGCCCCACGACTCTCCAAGAGTGCTCCAAAACACTCCAACAAGCGCCCACGACAGCCCAAGGGGGCTCCAAGACGGCCCCAAGAGAGGCTCATGAGAGGAAACGCGACCCGAAAATCCGAGCCTTCCGCCCGAAGAAGCCCCTAGCCAAAAGGTCTCCCAGAGGCCCCAAAAGGTTCCCGAGAGGCCCCCAAGAGGTCCCTAGAGGCACCAAGGGACAGAAAAAACCATCCCTACGAGACCCCTAGAGGCACCAAGAGGCCGAAAAAACGCCCCTCGCATCCTCCTCCTCCTCATCCTCATCCTCCTGATCATCCTCCTCTTCCTGCTCTCCCCCTCTGCCGCGTGATCTTACACCCGAGCTCCGCAGTCTCACCTGAACCTCGTCCTCCCCATACCCACCCTCCTCCTCCAGCCCCTCCTCCTCCCCTCCTCCGCATCCTGCTCCTTCTCCTCCGACTGCTCCTCCTCGTCATCCTACTGCTGATTCCCCCCCAAGCCCCCCCCCGGCCCCTTCTCGCCCTCCTCCTGCGCATCCTGCTCCTCCTCCTGCTGCTCCACCGCGTCCTCCACGTCCCCCCCTGCCACTCCTGTTCGTCATCATCCTCTTCCTTCTCGTCGTATTCCTCGTCCTCGTCGTCATCGTCTTCAGGGTCGGCGGCATTGGCCGTAAGGCCTTTGCAATATATAAACGAATAGATAGATAATATCTCGCTCTCGCTCTCTCTCCCTCTCTCTCTCTCTCGCTCGTTGTCTCCTCTTTGGGTAGCATGCCCTGCATACATGAGACGCGCAAGCCTGGGACGTGCATGCCTGGCAGGGCACAGCAGGGCCTAGCAGGGCGAACCAGGGATCAACCGTGCTTCGGAAGGGCGAACAGGGCTTTGCAAGCCCTATCAAAGGTTGGCAGGTCTTAGAATGGCTGAGCACTGATTAAGAGAAGTTAGCCGAGTTTGGCATGTTTGAACCTGGCTAGGCGAGGGTTAGCAGCGCCTGTACTACTCGAGGACAAGCCATAGCTGCTCAGACAAAGGTATGCAAGGCACTGCAGGGCAAAGCTCAGAGGGGGCTTCGCGGGGTCGAGCAGGGCAAATCAGAACTTAGCAGGGCTTGGCAATGCCTAGCAGAGCCTCGCATGACCTGGCGAGGCTCTAGAGAGCCGAGCAGGGCTTGGCATACGCGATCAAAACTGAGCAGAGCACATATGGGCCTGGCAGAGCATAGCAGGGCGTTGCATGGTTGAGCAGGGCTGCGCATGTCGTAGCAAGGTTTGCGGGGACCTAACAAGGCGCAGCAGGGCTTCGCACGGCCCAGCAGGGCAGTTCAGAACTTAGCAGGGCTTTGCGGAACCGAGCATGGCCTGACAAGGCTCTACAGAGCCGAGCAAGGCCTGGCATACTCGACCAGCGCCTTGCAGTGCACGTCGGGCCCTGCCAGAGCTTAGCAGACCAAGGCTTAGCACATCTCAGCATAGCCTGGCAGGACTAAGCATTGCTTACCAGGGGATAGCAGGGCTCATCAAAGCTTGGCAGGGCCTAGCATGCTTTAGAGGTGCTGGGCAAAGAGTAGCAGGGCATATTGTGGCTTAGCATGCCATGTCATGGCCTATCGGGCCCAGCATCACCGATCAGGGTCTTTCAGAACCCATTGGGGCAGATCGGGGCAGAACAGGGCTTAGAAGTGTCCAGCCGAGCAAAATCTTGATCAGCACCGATGAGCCAGGCGTAGCAGTGTTTGGCAGATCTTACCAGGGCATAGCAGCACTAAGCGTGGCTGAGCATAGGTCAGGAATGTTTGGCTGATCCCAGCAGGGCATAGCGGGGCCTGATCAAGCTTAGCAGGGACTTGCAGACCCTAACAGGGCATAGCAGGGCGTGGCAGGCCACGGCTGGGCTAGGCATAGCCCAGCAGAGCGTGGCAGGGCTTACCAGGGCTGGGGCTTAACAGGGCCGGTCAAGGCTCACCAGTCCATATTATGGTATAGCAAAGCTTACCAGGGCCGAGCTTAGCAACATCTACCATGGCTTAGGAGAGCCTGGCATGGCTTAGCATGGCATACCGTCTTTTTGCAGGGCGCTTGCAGGGCTCCTCAAACTGACTTAGCAGCAGAGCTTGGCAGGGGCTCTCAGGATCAATTAGCAGGGCTTAGCAGGGGCTAGTAGGGCTCAGCAGTGCTTAGCAGGGGATTGCAATGCTCACCAGGACTTAGCATGGTTCAGCAAGGGCTTGCAGGGCTTAGCAGGACATCGCAGAGGCAAGCGGGGCTAAGTATTGCTAGGAGGAGGCGACCGAAGAGTAGGAGGCGATCGGGAAAGAGGAAAATCATCATTCTCCCGCCCCCAGCGGACAAAAAAAAAAAACGGGCCACCCCCCACCCAGATTGTTTTTTTTTGGTGGGAGGGAGGGAGGAGGAAAAACGAGTATGAGGAGGAAGAGACGGAGGAGGAAAAGGAGAGGGAGGAGGCGAACGGGGAGGAGGAGGATGTTTTTTTTCCCCCGCCCCTTCCCCAAAAAATTGCCATTCCCACCCAGAACTGTTTGCTTTTTCATGCTGCTTTTTGGCTGGGGGTGGCGGAGAAAAAATGTAGAGGATGAGGAGGAGGAGGAAGAGGAGGAGGAGGATGAGGAGGAGGGGGAGGGGGGAGAGGACGTCACAGAGCACGCAGAGCATTCACAGACGCACGCGCCAACTCGCGCGCGCGCACGCCCTCGACGCCGAGAAACTCTACAATCCCCCGTGCTCGATAAGAGGAAGCTTCCGCGGGGAGGGCTTCTAAACAAAACAATTACGTCGCTGGTTCTCCGCAGGGCCACGCGTTGGCGCTGGCGTCCGGAGCGCGTCGCGCCCCGCGATGCGCGACGCGCGGATCTCTGTTCGCACCCTTACGCCTCCGCCCCAGAGAGAAGGGTACAGTAGGAGCTCGACCACGAGAAACCTTCCACAAGAAGCCCAACCATGGGGCCCCACGACGTCCGTTGACTTATTGTGCGGGAACGGCACGCTTCCCATCGCAAAACCATCGAAACCCAAGAAACCCAGGGCACCCTGGAGGCAAGCAGGGTGTTTCCTGGCTTGGGTCCCCACTGTAAAAGGGGAAAAAGAAGGAGGAGGAGGAGGAGGAGGAGGAGGAGGAGGAGGAGGAGGAGGAGGAGGAGGGGGGGGGGGGGGAGGAGGATAGGATGAGGAAGGAGGAGGGAGGAGAGGATCACTGTATACTCGCGGCAAAAGCCGCGCGGCGCGCGGCGCGGCTGTCTTCGCACCTCCCTGCATTGCCGGCGCGCACCGGGGGGGGTGGCAGGGGAGGGGGGGAAGGCGTCTTGGAAGGAAGCCGCTCCTGAGGAGGAGGAGGAGGAGGAGGAGGAGGAGGAAGAGGAGGAGGAAGAGGAAGAAGAAGAAGAAGAGGAGGAGGAGGAAGAGGAGGAGGAGGAGGAGGAGGAGGAGGCTAGATGTAAGGCCCGCGCCTTCTAAGAAGCCTCCTCCTTCTGTGAAGCCTTCCCCCCTCCACCTGCCCCCTCTGCGCGTCGCCAGGTGTGAATGATCCAGGGCGGCCTGGCGACGCTGCGGGGGGTGGAGGGGGGGAGCAATCACACAGAAGGCTTGCTGGCCTCTCTTGAACGCCTAGTCCCCGCGGCTTCTCGCTCCCGCGCCCCTTGCAGCCGAAGTCCAAGTCGGGAAGGCCTCCTGCCCTCACCCCCAGGCACCTGGCGGCCCGACAAATCGAGGCAGCGGCTTCTTCTTGTCAGACGTTGGGCCTCCCGGGGGCCGGTGACGGGCCATTGGGCTATCATCAGGTCGGGCATGTCCCCCCACAGGGGGATTTTGGACGAAAATTAAAAATACCTAAAATCATTCAAGAGTGGTCGAAGAATAATCGAAGAATCACCCCCAGACTATTTTTGGACTATGTTCGAATCTTCCTCCTGTAGAGTTAGGTCGGGCGTGTCCCTCTACAGGCGGATTTTGGACGACAGATGACAAAAATCAAACACATGTCAATAATACTTACAAAATGATTGAGAAATGGTACCCAGGCAAATGTTTGACTATTTTTGGATATTCCTCCTGTAGAGGGACAGGCCCGACTTAAGTGTAGAGGGTCATGCCCGACTTCAGCCTGGCTTCGCGCGCCCGCGCGGGTCTGCGACTGCGCTGCCGCCTCTCGGACTGCCGCGGGTTTGCGGCTGCGCGGCGCGGGCCTCACCCTGGCCGCTGGACGAAAGTGAAGGGACCCACAACCACACAAATGGATACACACAGATCTCACTATGCGGCGACGCCGGGCAAGGCCCGAGCTACTCACTGCCACACCAAGCCGAGCACGCACACACTGAAGGCAAACCGTACACTCCGGGAGGAGTGTAGCATCCACCGGAAGCCCCACTATGCCCCTCTCCGCTCGAGCTCAAGAGCAGGCGTCCGCGGGACAGCGGGTCCTGATGCTGCTGGTGCAAGGGCGCCAGAAGTAGTCCATGCAGTCGTAGCTATGAACTACCTTCCTCTCCTCCTCCACCTCTCATGCAGCTGCTGGTTCATCCTCCTGTTTCAGCTCGTTCTCATCCTCCCCTTCTCCATGTCCCTGATCCTTTTCCCATTTCCCCGCGCCCCGCTTGTATCATCCACTAAATCTGAGTTACCCTCTTCGCTCCTGCTCTGGCAGCCTCCACTCAGAGATAGCGGGATACAGAGGCAGGGCAGTTATTCGACGCGGAGATCCACAGATGAGCATATCATGTTGTGTCATTGTCCGATGCGAGTGTGGAAGCATGAGCGAGTCTACGCGTGAGGACGACTAAGCGTGGGCAAGTCCGAGTGTGAACGCTCATCCCTGCTGCTCTCGGCAACCACCTGCAAGTATGTCCCGCTCGGTGCTGGTATATGCCGCCCAGCGCTGCAATCTTATGCCCTCTTGAAGAAGTCTGGCAAAGTGCGCGCGTAAACATCTATGCACGCAGCCAGGCGCACGGTCACAACAACGTGGAAGCATGGGGGTGGGGTGGCTTTGAGTGAGCATGGGGAAAACTGAGGCAGCATTCTCCCTGCATGTCAACCTTGCGTCAGATCCCTGATCTCGGCTGCTCTCTGCTAGTGTATGCTGTTTCTGTTTGCTGCTGAATGGTGTTATGTGCTGGTTGTGCGGTTCCCTGCTAATGTCTGCTGCACTCTGCTGCGCCTTGATGCTGCTGCTGCATGTTGTTCTACGTTGGCACTACCGCTCCTGGCTACTCCCTGCTACATGCAGACCTTGTGTCACCTCCCTGCTGCTCTCTGCCGGTGTCTTGTGCTATGAGCTGCTCCCTCGGGTGCTGAATACTGTCATGTGCTTCATGATGAGGTTCCCTGCCTCTTGTCAGTTGTGTGCTGATCTCTGTTTCTCTCCGATGCGTTCTGCTGCTGCCTGCTGCTCTCGTCACAAAGTAGCGTTCTGCCCGAGAATTCTCCGCAGTCTGGGCGCAAACGGGTCGTGCAACACCCCTGGTAGGCAACCCGTTGGATGACCCTCGTGCACTGCCTGCGTCATCGAGGCGATCAGGAAGCTCGTACGGAGACTCGTCCACAGGGCCGGAACAAGCGTTTCGCCGAATTTGTCCCCACTATCTGGACGCGAATGGATTCGAGCAACACCCCTGGTCGGCAAACCCTTGGATGGCCCAAATGTCATCCCTGCAATATCGCGGTGATCGTGGGGTTCTGAGTAGAAACTCGCCCACTGACCGAAACAAGCGTTTCTCCTGAGATGCCCCCGCAATCTGGGCGTGAACGGGCCCTTGAAACACCCCCAGCCGGCTCCCCAGTGGGAGGCTTAAGTGAAATGCCTGCTACATCGCGACAGCCTTGGAGCTATGAAAAGGCACACGTCCACTAGGCCGAAACAGGAGTTTCGCCTGAGAGGCTGCCACAAGTTGGGCACGATCGGGCCCGTGCACCACACCCTCGTCGGCAACCTCCTTGGATGGCCCACATGCAGTGCGTACTGCACCGAGGCAATCAGGGAGCTCTGAGAGGAGAACCGTCCACCGCCCGAGAGGTCCCCACAATCTGGGCGCGAACTGGCCCTTTCAACACCGCTGGTGGCTCCCTCGCAAAATTCCATACCTGCTGCATGGGGTCTGAGTGATATCTGAGTGCGCGTAGGAGCAAGCCTGAGCAAAAATGGGTATGAGTGTGAGCCTGAGTATGAATGAGTCTGCATGTGAGAGATGGGAACGGGAATGAGTCTGACTATGACTGTGACTGAGCATGCGTGGTCTGTGGGAACGGCGGTGGGCAATTCTGTGCGAGAGCGAGCCTGAGAGCGTCTGAGTATGATTGAGTCCGAATCTCAGTGAGTCTGAGAGTGAGTGAGTCCCTGCGCAAGTAAGCCTGAATATGAGTGGTCTGAGAGTGAGCGAGTCTGAGAAAGTCTAAGTACAAGGAAGTCTGTGAGTTCAGGGAATCAGAATACGGGTGGCCCGAGTGCAAGTGGGCCTGACTGTGGGAGGGAGACGGAGGGAGGAGGCGGGAAGGCATCACACAACACAGGCCCCACACTCGGCATAGGGGGCAACTGTGGACAGACACGGAGGGGAGAGCAGGGAGAGCAAGGCGAGAGCGAGCAAGGGACTCCCCTCCAGCCCCACCCAGCAGGCCGCATCTGCGCTACAGGCGGCGAGCGCCGAGCTGAGGTCGGAGGGCGCTCCTGGGGAAAAACGAGGAGGTGCCGACACCGCTGCTCCCCGGAACTCTCCACGGGTGCGTCCAGACCAGGGCTCAGAGGTCAATCCAGCCGTGGCAACGAGGGCCCCACTGGAGGCCCAAAAAGGAGAAGACGAGGGAAAGGTGCTGCTATCCCCAGACATCCGACGTCTTCGCGTTTTCCGTCACGAGGTCACTGGAAGCCCCGACCGTTTCCCTAGGGCCAGCGTTCCATCCCGAGTCGTCTTGACGGTCCCAGGTCTTGGCGAGGGCCTCCCGAGGCCAAAAAACGGCCGAAAATCTTCCGTCGTGATGTTTGACACGACGCGAGCGTATCTGGGTGGATCTAGTTTCCCCCTCTGGGCTCCGCAGTGCAGCTCCCACGCGTCGTTGCCAACCATGGGGCCCTCCGAGTAGTCGCCCCCCGCGAGCACCGGCAGCACCAGCAGCCAGAGCCACGGGCACAGCCCCGGCCGCTCTCGTGGCAGCCGCCTCCTCGCGGAGAGGCTTCGACAGCCTCCTCCTCCTCCTCCTCCTCTTCGGCCGCATCCTCCTTCTCGCCGTCCATTTCCTCCTCATTCTCCTCCTCCACCTCCCCCTCTTCCGCCTCCTCCTCCTCCTCCATTTCCTCCTCCTCCTCCTCCTCTTCCACCTCCTCCTCCTCTTCCCCTCCTCCTCCTCCTCCACAGGATCATCAGCGGCAGCAGCATCAGCATCACCCACCCTCCTCCTCCTCCTCCTCCTCCTCCTCCTCCTCCCCCTCCTCCTCCTCCTCCTCATCATCATCATCATCAGCAACATCATCATCAGCAGCAGCAGCAACAGCAGTAGCATCATCAGCATCATCAGTAACATCCTCACCATCCTCACCACCATCAGCAGCAGCATCATCAGCATCGTCATCATCATCAGCACTATCATGTCCATCGTCATCATCATCCACATCCTCATCATCATCCTCATCCTCGTCCTCATCATCATCATCATCATCATCACAACCACCACCACCACCATCTGTAGCATCATCACCACCATCAGCATCATCATCATGTCGTCATCGTCGACATTGTCATCACCATCATCACCACCGCCACCACCACCACCATGATCATCATCGTCATCAGCATCGTCAGCATCATCATCCTCATCCTCATCATCCTCAGAAGCAACATCATCATCATCAGCAGCATCATCATGATCAGCAGCATCGTCAGCATCAACATCATCAGCAGCAGCATCATCGTCGTCATCGTCGTCATCGTCATCATCGTCAGCATCATCAGCAGCATCATCAGCGTCAGCATCGGCATCAGCATCATCATCTTCGCACCACCTTTCAAAAATCATCATCACCATCAGCATCAGCAGCAGCAGGGTTAGTAACATCATCATCAGCAGCATCGTCATCACAATCATCAGCAGCATCATCATCGTCAGAAGCATCACCATCGACATCATCCTCATCATCAGCAGGATCAGCATCATCATCGTCATCAAAATCCTCATACTTCACCACCAGCCAGCATCAGACATCAGCATCAGCATCAGCAGTCACACCAACCATTCATCAGCATCACCATCATCAGCAATCATCAGCAGCAGCATCATTATCACCATCACCATCATCCTAACCAGCATATGCATCGTCCAAGAGACCGTACAGCATCCGTACCCCGCCAGCCCACCAAGTGAGACGGGCGGATGTCTTATCATCAGCCCCGCACGGTCCGTCCCGCATCATCACGACCACCACCACCACCTTTTATCACATCATCAGCAACAGCATCACATAGCATCAGCATCGTCATCACACAAATAACAAAAAATCAAACAACAAAGAAAAACAAAAACAAAAAACAAAAAAAGAAAACAACAAAACAATCAAAATCAGGTCCCCAAATTCACAAACAATCAAAAAAAACCAAAAAAACAAAAAACAAAAACATCAACACAAATATCAAAATCAAAGAAATCAAGCACACCCATCAAACAAAAACAAACAAAACATCACAAACAATCAAAAAAAAACAAAGATAAAAAAAAAAAACAACAATCAAAACAACAAAACAAAATAAAATCAATCATCAAAACAAACAAAAACACACAAACAAAAACAAAAAAAAATCAATCACAAAACTCAAACAAAATAAAAACAATCAACACAAAAACAACACAAACCCAACAAAAAACAAAAAAACAACCATCATCAAACAAAATCAAGAAATCACAACAAATCAAAAAAACACACACAAACAAAAAAAAAAAAGAAAAAACAACAAAAAATCACAAAAAACAGCATCAGCATCATTATCATCGTCGCCGTCATCAACATCACCATCATCATCATCGTCATCATCAGCAGCATCAACATCATCATCACCATCATCAGCATCATCATCATCCGATTCCATCATCATCATCCGCATCCGCATCCACATCCACATCCGCACAGCGTACGCATCCGCATCCGCATCCTTCTTCTGCTCCTCGTCCTCCTCCTCCTCCTCCTCCTCCTCCTACTCCTCCTCATCCTCCTTCTCCTCCTCCTCCACCTCCCCCTCCCCGTCCACATTCGCCTTCAGTCCGCCACCCTCCCAAAATCAAATAAGGCAGGTGATGATGCCGCTACTCGTGCTCGTGGGCAAAAGGATCGCCGCCGCAGGAGGTCGGCGGAGGGGCCGGGGCCAAATCACAACTTCAAGTCCACTGGGGAGAGAGGAGGGAGGTGGAGCAGGAGGAGGAGGAAGAGGAGGATGAGGAAGAGGAGGGGTAGGAGGAGGGGGAGAAGAAGGGGGAGGCGGAGGAGGAGAAGAAGAAGGAAAACCACTGTCGACCCGGGACTCGCAAAACAGATTGCAATAAACTGGCCGATCCAAGATCCCAGGCCGCTCCACGACTTCGAAGCGGAATTCTTGGTACTCTCTTTTTTCGGACAGCCCACGCATGGACAGGACTGTCCTACGTTGCACGCCTCGTGGTTTCTTCCTGTTCCCCCTGTCCGCTCCTCTCCTCCTCCTTCCCGTTTTTCCTCCTCCCCCTCCCGTTCCCTCCTCCCCTGCTCCTTCTCGTTGCCCTCCGCCCCCTTTCCCCTCCCCCTATTTGGGACCCCATTTTTTGCTGACATGTGTATATACCTATGCGACCACTCTTCGGGTGAGAAGGCGGTTCGGGGGGGGGAGGAACCAACGCTTCACTCGATCGGTCTCACTATCGACCTTACTATCGATCTCACTATCGGCCTCGCTCGATCGATCTCACTCGATCGATCTCACAATCGATATCCTCGATCTATTTCATTCGATCGATCTCAATGTCGATACGACTATGGATATCTCAATCGATCTCACTATCGATCTCACTATCGATCTCACAATGTATCTCGCATTCGGTCTCGCGATCGGTATCACTATCGATATCACAATCGATCTCACAACCCACGTCATCATCATCATCATCATCATCATCATCATCATCATCATCATCATCAATCATCAATCATCATCATCATCATCATCATCATCATCATCATCATCATCATCATCATCATCATCATCATCATCATCATCGACATCATCGCCACCAACGTCATCAACATCATCATCATCATCACCATCATCATCATCATCAGCATCATCATCATCATCATCATCATCACCACCATCACCATCATCATCATCATCATCATCATCATCATCATCATCATCGGGACACCATCATCACCACCTCATCACCATCATCATCAACACTACCATCATCATCATGGGGACACCAGCATCGTCACCATCGTCATCATCATCAGCATCACCATCATCGGGACACCAGCAGCATCATCGGAACACCACCACCATCAGCATCATCATCATCATCATCATCAGCATCATCATCATCATCATCTCATCACCGACAGCATAAACAACATCGTCATCATCATAGGGACACCATCATTATCAGCGGCAACATCATCATCAACATCATCATCGAAACACCACCATGATTGTTACCATCATCACCAACATCATCATCACCATGCGGACACCATCATCATCATGAAAAATCAGCATCATCATTATCACCGGGTGATCAGCATCAAAATCTTCATCACCTCATCAATGTCCTCATCGTCAGCATCACCATCATCATCATCATCATCGAACACCATCATCGCCATCATCATCATCATCATCATCATCGGGACACCATCATCATCATCATCACCAGCACCATCATCAACCACATCAGCATCGTCGAAACACCACCATTGGGACACCCTCATCATCATCCCCACCAGCATCATCTCATCATGATCAACATCATCATCATCGGGACACCATCATCCTGATCAGCAACATCAGCATCACCAACATCATCATCATCATCATCAGCATCATCATCATCATCATCATCGGGACACGTGCATCATCACCACC